AACACAATGCCAAGAAAGACAGAGAGGGCAGAGATTTCAGAGAAGCCTGTCAATCAGGTATAGTTTATAAAGGCCATTTTACAAACTGGTCCATGGTGAGAAAGATTAATCACAAGGACAGAACATTTAGTGCCGTCGCTGTTCTTCGGAGCAGAAATCCCAGCAAGTTCACCACAAGGTCAGACAAAGAAGTGCTGAGATAAAGTGCTCAAGGCCCAGGATCCACATCTCTGACTCCATAAGCCTCAGTTAGCGTGTCAAATGGTGGAGTTCATGACCGTGCAATCAGGAAGCACGCGGAACAAGTGTGGCTTGCGGGGAAAAGCCCCCTTGTGACCACGGATCAGAGCCCAGATTTGTAAAGTTTCATCTGAATAATCTGCAAGACCTCTAGGACAGGGTCCAAAGGGATGTTGTTCATTATTCAAAGCAAAACACCTGCAACAAAGCTAACTTTTTGATCTGAAGATCTTCTTTAGAGGTCTCTTCAGACTTTGCCACAAATCCATTGAAGACGAGCCAAACCGTAAATGATCGGAGAGGCTGGAAGTAGCTAAAGTGGGTTCTGTCAACAGACACATGAGCTGCTCCGTTTTTCCAGTTCACCTGAAGCTGGACTTACCTGGAGTTAAAAGCCTCTAATGATTCATTATCCTGCCCTGAGCTAACCGACAGGGATGATGCCCTTTTTCACACTGCAACATTTACATGATTTAAACATGAGCAAGTGAGAATTATAAGCTGATCCATTAAACCTTTGCGTTAATAGTCCTACTTTCCAAAACAGAGTTAGAAAACGTCCCTTGGCTAATTTACACATCTTGTCCCTGTAGCTCAGAGAGGCTTCATGTGAATGTTGTGTAACATCTGCATTCATCTCCCGTTGTGTTGCCGACACCACAACAAAGAAGGCCTCTGTACATTATTAACATGTCTCATGTTCCTCTGTAGCGCATACTTTGAGAATCTCACCCTGACTTCCAAACGTTCAGCCAATAGCACAGAGGACAGAACTTGCAGGAGCACAGGAGATGGGAGGCCTGGAGTTTAGCCCCTGCTCCTTCTTTCTAACTCCTAATCTGATGATTTTGCTGGATGTGCTCCACCATTTTTCTCTCCTTCATTTTGACCAGATTCGCCGGCCGTAGCTGTCCTGCTTGCGCAGCCCCACACTGGCACCTGTTGATGAAGACGGAGAACAGCACGCGCGTGCGCACAAAGGGAGCCCGCTAACAAAGCGTGCAAACGCGCAGAGATCACAGAAAAGCAAAAACAGAAAGACGTGCAGTCACGTGGCCGCCCGTTCGGGCCGCTGTCGCTTCGTGAAAAGGATTGCGGAGGTAATTCCACCTCAGGAGCCTCCAGCAAGCAATGAGTCAGTTAGATGATTCACACACACACGCGCGCGCACACACACACACAAACACATAGAGTGATGCCGGCAAATGACACGTCGGAAAGACTGATTTATCCACACAAGCAGCCCTTAGAGGCGGAATGTATCCAGAGTCTGATGACGGCAAGCGAGGAGAGCATAAGCTGTGCAGCTGCCTCTGTCCAGCCCAGGGCTGAAGTTTTACCTTGGGCTTTAATTATTACTCGGGAGGTGTGATGATTAACCTGTGACAGAGTGTCAATGGAGGAGTCAGAGATCAGACGGCAGCACTGCGATGCATCAGCGCTGCTCTTTTCTTTAACCGTCCAGCATTGAGAGGTGTGTGTGTGTGTGTGTGTGTTGGAGAGGAGGGGAGGGAGGGGGGGGCTAACAGGTAATCCACGCACAGTCTGGGCCGATCGTGCAGGTGGTGGGTGACACAAGCAGTTCGATACTAAATATCAAACACCTGGAGACTAAGACTGACCCCAAACATCCATTTGGTCATTTCTCCTAAAAAGGAAGGCTGGATGGACTTAAAACTGTTCATCCTCTCATTAAAACACCAAAACCCGGCACAACGTCCGGAAAAACAAGACTATGAACCGACTGCACTCAAACCCAGCTCCCATATCATCCCGATTTCACAGTGCAAAGGCAAGCGGACTGCATCACAAAGTGACCCCTCACCACTGGAAGCTACTCCCATCAGGCAGTCACCCCAGAGCACATCTTGCCAAAAAACATTAACTTGTAGAAATCCCTCCAAAGCATCCATTTTGATCAAGGTCAAAAGGTGCAGCTCTAAAACTAACAGCTTCAGAAATTGATTGGAAGTGATTTTCGATGCCAGCTTTGTGTGCATCTTTAAAGCGAACGTGTTTTCTGAGCTGCCTGTGAGGATTTAACCTTCCACAACTTTACCATTGTGAGAAAAAGTTTGTTTTGGGTCCGATTCTTTTTACAAAAAAGACATCAGAATAAAAAAACTCATTCAGAATTTCATAATCTAATTCAAATGCATTTGCCAGTCAAAACTAAGCATTAAAATCCCTTTTTGCCGCAGTGTGCATCTGTGTGTCGCATGTCCTTAAAATCCACAAAAAGCAAATGAATAAAACAAATTTTGAGCAGAATAATGTGCTGGCTGAGACATTACTTCCAGCAGAAAAAAAGTCAACACAACTAATGTCATCAGTCTGAGCCGTAGATGAAAAATGACTTGGAATTTGGAACATTTTCCAGCACCGCATGAATAATTAAACAAATACTTGTAAAAATGTACTTAAAATGATCTTTTACCTCTTCATCCTATGACATTTTATAGAGCTAAATTGAACCAAGACTAGATGGTGTGACAGCATTCAGGTGTGTGAAGGGGAAAACAACTGTGACTTCTTTTTCTTTTTTTTTAAGTAACCTCCACAGCTGTCCTTCTTATCCCTGCCGCCTTAATCAAAGCTATGGGGGAAAATGTCGAAGATGCTGACAGGTTCACCAGCAGATCAAAGCGTACCAACTTGAGTTGGTTGAGCTCTTCGACATAAAAAAAAACAAGAAACCCCCCAAAATGTAGACATTGAAAAAAACGTCACTGTCATGCTCTTTGGAAATCCAATAACCGATAACTGGGACCCTTTGTTTCCTCTATTTGGAAACGGGAAACTGGCCTGTCGACACCACTGCTTGTTTACATGGATGTCAAAGTGCTGCTCGGCCCCAATTTGTTTCTTTTTTTCAAACGGAGCAAATAATTAAAAACAGAGTGATTTGTTACAAAAAGCACAGAGGCAGAGCATTTGCTTTAAGCCCTGTGTCCAAGCACTTCTCAGACCTGGAGAAATGAATTACCATTCAGGGCTCTCTCAAGATTTTCCTCACAGTGAAAGCTATTTACCAAAAAGGTCATGCAGGGTTAAATATGCAGATTTTAAGGCAAATAGCAAAAGGCTAGGACTGTCTTAAAAAAAGAAACGGAGCGGGCGCAGCCTTGAGGCAACGCGGCTAGCTCCCAGAAATGTGCTGTTCTGTAAAAGCCTCTCAGAAGGCAAGTTTTCAGAAAGTCAGCGCTGTTTCAAAGTCTGACTCCCACCTTAACAAAACGCTTTTGTTCTGTCTTCTGCTTAAAGGTCTGCAGAGGGTCATGGCGACCCAACTCTAACATCATTAACATCATCGCAGATGAATCCCCAGCATTTAGTTTCTGCAGAGCAGAGGAGACAGCCAGCGCCCGTAAGGCCGGCCGCTCGGCTGCATGCGTGGGAGGAGGTTGCAGGCAGCAAAATGACCAAATGTTCAGACAGAAAACCAATTTCAAATGCTCCGACTGGCGAAACAATCCAGCTTCTCTCTGCCACGGCCTTGCCACGGCTTTGAATTAAGCGTGGAAAAACCACGGCGTCACAAACTTGCGGCGGCAGACCTCCGCATTATGTGGAGTCATCCACTTTGCGACGCACTGCTCTCCTTTAAGGGAACAAAGGTCAGCAGGCAGCGCCGCATGATGAGTAAATCCTTTTTGGAAGCGTTTCCGCGCTGAAGGATAACCCGAGGCCCGTCGTCTTCTGCAGCGGGAGCAAAAACCCTTCCTCTGGAGCCCTGTGAATGTGCTCTGCCTCACAGCACGCCGCCACTCACTGAAGCCCTTGTTAAGTTTGAAGGAGTGACAGATGGAGGAATCCAGCACATCAAAAGTCGGTAACACAAGACTGGCACGGGCCCCTGCTGAGCGGCCCCTGACGCCAGCGGCCCTCAGCTGCTGGCGGCGCTTTGGCTTCCAGCTGAAATTTGGACGGCAGCTCATTAGCGGCCGAGACCTATCGGTGGGGGCCGTTCTCCCTGCTTCTCCACCCCCCCCCCCTCTTTTTTCTTTCCCAGCTTGGAGCAGGTACCGTGGTGCTTAACAGGAAGTGGGGGAAAGCAAAGGGGCGAGGCGGGAGTCTGGGGGACAAAAGCCAGAAAAAGGGCGGCGTTGGATACCGCGTCTGCTCTGCAGCGTCCACCTGTAACCTCACAGGCTGCAGAGTTTCACCCCGGCGCCCGCACATCCGGCCTGGCCCTGACAGCCCGGGACCCCCGCCTCCTCCTGAGCTCAGCCACAGGTCACAACTGTCCTCAGCAGCAGGCTGGCATCCAACCAGACTCACAGAAAACACACTTGGGTTTAATCAGGAACTAATACTCTTGTACTTCCATCCTTGCCAGTCTTTTTCTTTATCTTTCAAAATATTAATCATTTCCCCCTTTATATTTTTGATTCAGTCAACCACCAAAGACTTTAGGTTATGAATTTTTCTTCTGTTCACCTTTAATTTGCCATCAACAGTTCTAATATTACGACTATTTCTATTTTTCTTCAAGTCAGTGGTAGAATGTGGTCAATCTACCACTTATCACGAATAGTCTTTGGTTGATATTTTCACGGACATCTGGTATGTCGACCCGAGAACTCAGAACTAATTAAAAACCTAATCATCCAAATTTGCAACTGGCGACGCCGCACCGCAGAATGAAGTAGCAAAAAGGCTCTTATCTGTAATAGTGTTTCAGCATTCCACACAGTGACAAAGCCCCCACGCTGGAGCTCCCCAGCAGCCTGATCTGAGAGCGTGGTCACCCACTGAGGTCAGTCTGATGAACAGGTACGCGCTTCATTTTGTGCCGCCTCGCTATCGTGTGTGTGTGTGTGTGTGTGGTTTCTGCTTCCTGGTGTCAGGATATCTGAGCCGCTGATGGAGAGAGCGCTCCGCTCCGGGTTACCTTCATCAAAGTCCGCGTCGTCCTCGGTGTGCTGGGGGAAGGGGAAGCAGTTGGTGATCTCCAGGCGGTCCTCCACCACCAGGCCCAGCAGGACGCCCTGGACCACCTCGCTGCCCTGGCCTTCTTCCTGGTAGTGCTTGATGATCTTCAGCACCACCTGTGAGAGCAGGAAGGAGGAACGTCATTGGAGTGACAAACCACAGACCAGAAGGGAGGAGAGACGGGTTCGGGGGGGGGGGGGGGTTGGAAATGAGATTTTGTTTTCGGAACCCGAGTTATATGGATGCTGTTCCGGTTATTGTGCCTTTATCATCCTTTGATTTACGGCGTCACGTTCAGCCTGTGCTGTTGATTTGCTTTCACTACGGTGAGATGGGCTAAGGCTCTCGGGTCACGTTGCATTTACTTTCCCAGCTTTCAGTTCTACACGTTTCCTTTCATCGCAGCGCCACTAAATTAAAGCATTTCATTGGTATGAACGAGGACGGCGCAGGCAATAATGTGGCCTTGATATACACAGTTAATTTCATTCTAATGTATTTACAAAAATCCCTAATTAAAAAAAACAAAAAAAAACAATGTATGCTCGTCAAGAGGGAGGAAAACATTTTTTTTTTTAATAATGGCTTCATAACGAATTCATCACATTCATTCCATGCACAGGAAGTTATGCGATGATAACATTTGGGGAGTCTATATGTTTCTACAACATACTGGATCATTAGAATAGCTCAATTACAAACAATTACAACAGGAGCTCAAAGTCTCCCCACAATTCTGAACTTTTAACAGTCTGATACAGAGAGAACATGCGCCGTCCATAAAGCAAAAGTATATAGTGAGAAAAGCAAGCTAAAAAGCAACTGCCGGCCATTTAAAAAAGAAAAAAGAAAAAAGGAGGGGTGTGAGGCTTTTCCCCATATCGTCACACTTTGGGCCTGAACGTGTTCCCAACCTGTTCTGGGGCCGTGCCTGGGCAGAAATCCTCTGAGATGTAAAGCAAACCCCTGATTTCACCTTGCCGTCACATGATGCTTCCTGCGTGAGCTCCAGGAAGCTCCAGATTAAAGATGAGGAAGCAGGATTATCCATAGCTGGCTGGGACTGGAATGTTACGGTACACATCCGGCGGTGAGCGGCCCCCTGGATGACACGTTTTCACACACTGATGACCTTCCACAATGGGGTTGTCATGCTGACATTTCTGAGTCAGTAATCACTTCAGACGCAAAATTATGAGCTCTCAGGAACTAAAAGATTCATTCTGCAATGGCTCCCGCTGAAAGCACACCACAGTCAAGTGTTCAAACAGGAAACTAGACTTTGTAGAGTCATTTTAAGGCCTAGGGATTCTGACTTTGGGTAGCCTCCGGTCACATTTCTCCAAATGGTCTTCCCAGTGGACGGGCGCTTGAACGTCCATTCATATAATAAGACTACTGACTGACTGACGAGAAACCTTTCAGCTCTGCTACTGGCACCGGCCATCAGATAAGGCAGGCTGCACCTCTCCGCTTTGCAGCAGGCTGCAGACACTGATGTGGAGTGACCTGAAAATGGCCGTCAGCCAGCGGGGCGCGCAATGGTCTGAGGAAGCAGCTCCTCAAAATTCTGTTTCACACGTCGCGGGATTAAGAATTTATGTGTCTGCGGAACGGATAAGATGCCCAAAATAAGATGGAGTATAAAAGGGGATTTTCATATTACTCAGGCCTCCACCGGCTGGTAAAGTAGCGGAGTGTGAAGCACCACCTGCAAGCTCCATCACGGGGGCATCACTGGTGTTTAATGCGTACAAAACACTAGTTAGTATTCAGCACCACTCATCAATTTACACTCCAGAAAGAAGAGGCAGCGCACAAATCTTTCAGGAAAAGTGTTAGCTCTTGCTGGCTGGAGGGGCCTAATCTGAACCTGTGCTCTGATGTCCTGCAGCATCACGCTTTACCCAAACCAGAGTGTTCATGCATCATGGTATGCTTTTAATTCTTAATGCTAGTTAAAAATGGGCCAATAGGGCAGGCCTTTATATGATTAAGGAGCTGGTTTAGACTCTAATGCCGTGTCGCTAATGGAAACAACAGCGTGTCTCTGCGCACAGAGATGTTACATAAATATATATAGACCAACCCATCAGAGGACATACAGGCCAGCAAGAACATAAAACAGCCAGGAAAAAGACTGGAGAGAGAAGGCTAAGCGTCTAAATGAGCAAGGACTGGAAATAAAATAAGGCTGAAAAGCATGGTGTGGACATGGAGAGCATAAATCACGCTGATAACAGTGTGGGCAGGTCACAGCCGGAGGCATTAATAATCCACACATACGCAGGAGCAGGGTGGCAGCCCTGCACCCATGCTCACAACAAAAACACCCCGCACCACTGTGAGGGAGCCCCTCCAGGTCTCAGCTGCCAGCGCACACACGTGTGTGCACGCAGGCAGCTCGTCCGGGGAGATGATTTATTTCAGTCGAGTGCTGGACTTGTCATGCAACAAGTAAAGAGCTCCAGGCATGAGGAAGAGAGACGATGTGGGGTGGAGTGGGCAGAAAAACAAATTTCATTCTCTGCCTGCCTGCCTGGCCACAGCTCTCCTGACTGAGAAGGAAGGAAGGTCTGCGGAATGCAATGAGGAGGAAGACGGGGGAGGTCAAAAAGAGCAAAAACATGCAAGAGCAAGAACTCGGAGGAAAAGGTGGTGGTCCTGGAAATGCAAGGCTACCACATGTGAGAGAAGCCAGAAGTGGACAGAAAATACTGATAAGAGAGAGCTGGAGGTGGGCTCTGAGAGCAGGGAAGCAGCCAGGTGGAGCCCTGACACCAGGGAGGGGGTGTAGGAGGGGAGAACAGCAACATGGTGGACGGCCTTGGGATTGGCCTCATCGACCCCCCCCCCTTGAGCTGTAGCCCTTCGTCTGCTAACAAAATTGTTTTTTGAGCCTACTCTCCTTCACAGAGCAGGTAGCACAGAGCCACGGTGCTCTCAGCGTGCCACTTCTAGGCAGTCTGTCCATCACACACTTACACATCGTCCTTCTGGACGAGGAGGAGGTCGGAAATAGACAATCCACCGACAGCACGCGCTGTGAAGTCAAACAAAGGGAGCGACACGAGTGTGTCAAGTAAATCCCGAGACGCCTCACAGAGGAAACCACAGAAAGGCTCAAAGAGAAGAGGGAGGAAAAAGAAGAAAATGGAAGGGTCTGGGTGGATTTGCAGCGCTGGCTTCTTGGTGCAGAGTAAATGCCATCGGGTGTTGTAAGCAAATCCCAGAGAGCTCCAGGTTTATGTAAAAGTGCACACACACGAAGGCTAACTCTCAAGTATCATCCTTTAATGCGGCTCCCCTCTTTTACACACAATCGCTCAAATGCAAACGCATTGATCCAGCTCCCCAGCAGCTCGGCCCATCAAGCTCAGCCTCATGTGGAGACGCCCCAGATTGATATGTGGACAGTGTATTATAAATCAACAAGCTTAAAATTGAATTGTGCGAAATCAATTGCAACCCAAATCCCCCGTTGGCTGCCTTTAATTCTTATCATAAATCTCCTCTCACTCACACAGAAGAGCTCCTACTCCCAACATAACGGGGCTCTGCTTATGAGAACGCACCGCCAGAGAGACGGGCCTTTAATGAGTTTTCTTTTTGGGCCACTCAAGTGTGAACCGACGCCCGGCGCCGGCCGCGCGCCGCTCGCCAGACAGCAGCGCTTTCTCTGTGGGGTGACTCAGCTCGTGGGTTAAGCCACCGGCGGCGCTGCGCAGATCCTCACTGCGTTTGCCAGCTCTCGTCTGCTGGCCTGGTGAGATCTTTCTCAAACATGTTGTGCCAAACAAGTCGGATTTTGAGTGGGAAGCGGTTCAAGACGGCCGTGAGGAGGTGGTGCCGCCATGTTGGAAAACAATTTAGAAAAGTAAAGAGAGGTGTCGGCACACCCGGCCACAACCGAAATCTCACCGTCACCAAAGACACGCTAAGTAGGACGCCATCTGCTTTATTCAGTATATCAGAAACAGAGCCAAGCAAAGCCTTACTTCTGTCAGAATGGGAATGCAGTCCTTCAGATTGTCTCTCCTCCAACTTTTTGCTAATATTTAAGAGAGACTGCCACACAGAGATACTGACTGAAAACGTGTTTATTTTCCACCATAAAGCAGGACAGATGGGTTTATATGCTTTTATACACCAGGCAGTAGATAACTGATAGGGCCACATGCTGTACATTAAAAAAAAAACTCAAGCCAAAGCTTCAAGACCGAGGGAACCCCTCTGAGCCCGAGTTTCTTTCATTTTTGTGAGCTTTCCACCAGAAAATTAAAGCCACCATCACATGAAAGGCTAACAAGAATGTTCTTCTGGGCTTCCCGCCTTGTTATTACCACAACTCACTATACGTGAAGCGCTCTGCATGTTGTGGCCCGACTTCTGTGTAATTCCCAGCACATGGGTAACACCTGTGTGTGACGTCCATCACCACCCCGACTCGGTTAAAACACGCTCTTTCCAGGCAAAGAGGCCTGGCTGACCTAAGCAGGTGCTTTGTGGAAACCAATTGCAGGGTTCCAATACCCCTCAGCGCCAACATGAAACGCTTAAGCCTCTTCAAAAGCAAAAAACAGTCCATTTCTGCTCCACGGCAGCAGCCATGCCGTCTGCAGGCAGCCCTGCAGCTCCAGCACTCATGATGCAACGCAGCAGCAACTTCTGCACATCAACGCATGCAGGTGGAGTTTCACCACTCCACCTGAAACACGCCCCCACCCAAGAGTCTGAATACAAAGCAGGACACTGTAAACGGTCCCCGGCTGCTTCTCAGTGCAGCGAAATGTTTGTTTGATAAGGCTATAAAGGGAATGGGGACGATCTCGGAAGTCTAAGTAATACACATTAAGGTGAAATATAAGTATTTCTCCTTAATGTGCGATTTGAAATTAGAGCCTTACACCCCTGGGTGGCTTTAATGAGGAAGATAAAAGGAAGGCAACAGCTGGCAAGTCAAGTCCTGCCCCTGCATTCAGGCACACCACCAAAATAAGCCGCTTTGTGTCCAGTGCAGTTTGGGGCACTTGGAGGGGAGAATGCAACCGCGTGCCTGTGTAGCAAGTTTGTCCCCTGCTGTCAGCACTGCGGTACTACATAATGTAAAGATGGACATGGAGCTTTTTAAAGGTCACATCCAATCACTGCAGAGCATTCACACACGGATGAGGCGAAAATTGTTTCAAGAATTCAAAGATCGGCTGGTAAAAAGAATTGATCACAAGAAGGAACAAATCATTGCAAGACATGTGTTCAAGGTAAGACCAATGCCTCAATCGTAGATGTTTCTATAACACCAGAATGAGTTTTAATTAAAACAATCTTGAGTCTGCACACTTCTAAAGTGTTCGAGGGATATAACTTTAGAACATGTTCCTATGGCAAGTGTTTCCCTGTGGCAGGAGCAGAGAAAGCTGAGGACAGACACACACACTAAAGTGTGGTGTGTTTTTTTTATTCAAGACAAAGAAATAATGTATATGCACTGCAGAGATCTTGTCCTTTTTGTGATTTAGATTTTTTTGTCAAATTGGTATTTTTTATATAATTTCAATTTAAGCAAAGCAACTAAATATATTACATAGGGCAGATTTGTTTGGTAGAAATATGAAGTTACAACGGACTGCTTAAAATAAATAAATAAAAAGGTGAGCTAAAAGCATCTACTCGTTTGAGTCGAGCTGAGCGAATACGCGCAGATGGGATTTGAAGTAAAACTGCATTCAACTAGGTGCGTTAGTCCGATTTGGAGAAATTCCATTTTGTACAGTTTGGATATAAATATCCATGTCTATTCATTAACATTCTTGATTTTATACCAAATCGCACCAGTGAACCAACATTAGTTGCGAGCAGTAGTTTAACGATAATAGTGATTTAAATAAGAAGCACATAAAGTGCCCTTTAAATGTAACGACTGTTGTTTGTGGGCCTCCCATGCCCACTGGGGAGCAGGTAACACGCCTATGGAGAGCTAACAAACGTCTCGAACAAAATAGAACAGAAAAAACATCATCAACCTAAGGTGCCTAGAAAAGCAGGGAGGTAAGGGGTCCTAAATGAAACGCTCCTAAAGGCTGCCGGCAGTAGAGTACAGAACCTAACAGCAGCTAACCTTAACATAATGTCTTATCTGCAAAACAGTAGTGAGGCTTAAAATACATCATTTCAAATGACGCGTTAAATTTAATAAGATTCAACACATATTTTGGTTGCTAGATCTTTCCATCAGAAACACTTGTGTATCATCTCGCCGCCATAATGATGTTCATACGTTAGCAAGCATTTGCGTGGTAACAGCTGTTTCCCCTTTGTTTTCCTCCTAAATTAGGCACACGGCCAAACTGGACACTTACCAGTCCCTCAATCTGGATCTGTTTGACTGGAGAGTCCAAAGTTCCGCTCGTAGAAGCTATTGCGGCGGTGGAAACTGGAGTAGTCTCTTTACGTGATGCCATCTTTGAGTCGGTCCACGCGAAAGAAAGGAGGAAGGAGTTCGGTGACGGAATTTCCTAGGTTATCGCATCGCGGTTTCCTCTCCGTGTAGAAACAAAGGCAAATTGATCAGTTCTTCTTTGAGGTTTAATTTCGTTCTGTGGGTCTGACTACCAAGAGGAAAACTAAGTCAACAATAATGTGTGTGTTTTTCTGAGACCCATTTTGTTGACCGAAAGTTTGTTTGTTTATTCATAAAGTGCATGAAATAACTTGAGTGAATTTGATTTATTTTTCAAGTCATTGTGTGACTTCAATTGATACAATAGCTTTTGATGGAACTGGTCGTTTTGGGATAGTTTCCAATACATTTTGTTCAATCATCTCCACAAGACTGATGATCAGTGTAAGCAAAATTATGTAGAAAGATTGGTTGCCAGTGAGAATTATGGTTTTAGCAGATGAGCAAATTAGAAGTAAATAATACTGAAATAAAGATGTTTGTATGGGCATGTCCTCATTTGGGTTTTGGAAGCTTAGGTGATATTTCTGTTTGGCATTTAAGATCTTGGCCAGTGTGTCTGAAGTAATTAGCTGGATGTAGGTGCCAAAATCTACTTGAATTTAATGTAATTTTCTGTCACTTTAGAAATCTATTTAATGTTGAAGTCTGGTACTGGTAATGTGCAATACAAATACGTTTGCCTCCCCCCAATTAAAACAAATGCAATTAATGCACATCCAGTTACTTAAAACACTTTATTTAAAATCTTTACAGAAGTATCACAACTAGAAGTTACCCAAAGTCTAAAAAGGTGGGATATTGAACTTAACTGTAACAAGTACATTACCTTATTACATAATGTAAAAAGGCAAATAAGCATAAAACGTAAAAAGGTACAAAAGAGAAATTTACATAAAACTTAACTGATAAACTGCCGGAATTATACATCAGAAACATGATATTTAATGCCAGGTAAGATTAACAATTTATTGACAGATTAACTTTTTAGTTTATCAAAGAACAAGTGCAACAGGGAGAAGATGGGATAGGTTACACTTCTGAGCAATAAAACAGTACCTTTCCAGAACATGTACAGAGTCAATGCAGGATTCTTTATGTTAATACGGGGGCCTTTTTCTAAAATCTTATACATTTCGTTCGAAAGAGGGGCACGGATACAAAATTTATGGAATGAGCAGACAACAGAAATTTAACTTACAACAAAATGAAGCAGTTTACAAATTGATGACTGAAAAAGTTTGATTTATAAATATACTTGTTAACATTCTACCTCGCGCCATTTGAACCAAGAACACTGCATGATTCCATCTGAAGTATGGTAAAATCCTCTTGTTAAAAAGTTTCTGACCCATTCCCTGACTATTCCCTCCCACTCCCCACGGGAAAGACAAAAAAAAAGAAAAAGAAAGGGCTGACAAGAAAAATAAAGTAAAAAGGCAGAGTTGCGTAATTTTAAAAGAGTACGGTATGCCTGCTGCAAGCAGAGTGTTTGTTTCTGGTTCCAATGTCTAAATGAGGTGGAATCTTGGTCCAGCGGTTGCAATGATGTCGCTGTAGGGCTGAGTCTGAGTCACCTCGATGGCTTGCTGCTTCTTGAGGACCAAGAAACTGTAAAACTTGGCCGCTGCCTGCTTCCTGTTGTTGTTCCGACACAGGTCAAGCAGGCTAACCGAGTCGGCGCCAGTCTTGGCCATGACGCGCTGTGGACACAGAACAGAGGGCCTGAGTGCTTCCATCTTTAAAGTGGGACGCGTTACGCGGTCCGGCTCTTACCTGTAGGCCGTGCAGCATCTGCTGGGTTCTCTTGTTCCATCTCTTCTCCTCCTGATCCTGGTCCCCACCTTGACCCTCCTCGTCCTGAGAACCACAGACAGTGATCAGAACGAATGGGTCACGATTAACAGCGACGGGTATAGTAATCAGGTATAGTTCACTTGTAAGCGCTTTGAAAAGCTCTATTTAAACTTAATGAATTATTATTACATCTCCTAAAGAATTTCTTTTTCAACATTATACAGCTAAGAAATCGTTTGAAGCATTATTTTCCCCTCACCTCTTCTTCGTCACTCTCGTCCTTCTTGTCCTTTCCTTTGCTACTGAGCAGGTCCAGCTCTGGGACGAGCTGGGTGAGGTTGACGCTGCTCTCCTCTGGGGGCAGCTCCACCTGGGGCATATCTAACCTCTGCGACAGGTCTGAGCGCTCCATCATTTGTTGCTGGTGCTGTGGCTCCAGGGGAGTCATCTGAGGGAGCAGAGCACCCAGACACGGGCCGGGTCAGAACTCACAGATTGACTTTTCTTTCACCAAAGTACCAACACGCCCTTATTTATTTAACATTTCTGTTAGAGGACAGACAAAACCAAAGGGACCTGAAGGCTGGCCTGTCAAACTTCAGGGTTCAATTGTTTCCACAGGAAATACTCACAGAGATGGTGCTCTCTTTGTCGTGGGCCTTGCGTTTAACACTGCGGGGAGTGGATGGAGGGGGCATGCCAGACTCATCTAAAGTTGTCCTGCTGCCCTCCATTGCAGAGGCTGCCAGTATACTGGGCTCCTCCATGATGGTCTGGTCTGAAGGACAAGCAGAGGTAAAAAAAAATCTAATAAAAACAGGGCTGTAAGCCATTATTCAACAAGAGACCATCTGCCACGTGTTGCAATCAGCTGGATTCGTCTGCTCTGGAATGTAACCTCTCAGCACGACTTACCGATAACATCTCTCTGGTGAGTCATGAGCTCCTCTCTCGGCACCTCTGGGTTCTCCAGTTCCTTCAGGAACTCATCCAGACTGTCTGCCTCGCCACCCTTTCTCCTCTTCCTCAGCTCGTCGGGCACCAGGGGTGTCAGACAGCGTGTGAACATCTGTGAACAAGAATCACTGTGAGGGATGACCTTTTTCCCCTTTTAAAATGACACACACCTTTCTACAAAGTGATATGCGCAATTAAAACTAGGAACATTTTGGGAGAACTGAGGCGAGACACAGGAAATGCTAAATTATGCCTCTACACGTTCTCTATTCAGTATTCAGGAAAGACGTGTCGGGAGAGAGAAACAAAAGACAAGACCAATCACTTTTTCCATGTTGTGTTGCTTCAATATGCCCGTCTGAAACTTAAAACAAAAATCTGAATGGAATATCAATGACAAATGTGGTAGAAATCTGCTCTCCAGCCGTTTGGGTGATGAGACTGCTCTTTGCAGCTCTGAAAGTGGTAATACGTACATTTTTCACTCAGCTGTGAAGACCAAAACACAAACACATGAATATTGTTGGTACCTTGAGCAGCCTGGCATTCCAGAGGGGCTGAGCAGGCAGAGAGAAGAGCTTCTCCACTCCTCCAGTTTCCTTCCACATCATGAGTTTCTTTGTTGGGGGAGCCAAATCCAGAGTGGTCACGATGTCGGAGTAGTCGGACAGCTGGGCCCGGATGGTCTTGCTGTCCAGCTCTTTCACACTGTCCACGATCAGCTTCCTTTTACGCTTCGCCTTGGTCTCTTTCACTGGAAGTAAAAATTCTGATGTATTAGATGCTGGTGGGGGCAAACGATTTTCCTCCGCACTTCCACCCAGTTTGCCCAGGAATCCATTTGAAGGTTCACGTACTGAACAAATTTGATACTAACAATAGGAAACCATCAATCATTTTCCTTCTTTATTGGATGAATATGTGACGACTAGCTGAGCCAGAGTAACCTTTCAGAGAAAAGTGGAGCTGCCGCTGCTTCTTACAGCAGACATAAGAGAACAAAAGCTCCATTAAACTCAAGTTAAAATGAGAACTGGTTGTGCACATAGGCTGGAGCTCCCTGACAGAACCAGTCCCCGCCGCATGTCACCCCCCCCTCTTTTCCATCAAGCGACTCATTAAGTTTCCAACATGTATTGGTATTAAGTATTAAAATGACATGTGGTCTGTCTGCTCTGCCTCTCATTACAATAGATCAGCGTAGTTGGTAAAGTTCTATAACATTTATACTTGAGGAACCCTCCATCTAGTTAATCAATGCGAACAACTGACATTGAATTAGAAATGACTCGTTACCATAGATAAAGTAATAAACACACTGGGTTAGAGAAGGTTGAGCCTTACCAGTGACGTCAATGGGCTCCAGGGCAAAGGCCTCCTCCTCATTGTGAACCAGAGTGGTCTGCTCTGTCTGGTCAGCCATTGCAGGGAGTGGCTCTGCTGGGCCAGAGTCTGGACTGTCTGGACCCGCTTTACAGACGAAGCACAGCCAAGTCAGAACAACCACAACCAAGACTGATCTTTACATTTGGGTCTGTAATCTCCTTCAGGTTGCATCACTCACGCGACTGGAGGTTATCAAAGTCATCTTCGTCATCGCCGTGATCTGGAGGCATCATGACACTTGTGATAGCTGGAGGATCGTCCAGGATACCGCCTCCATCTTCAGAGTTCAGCAGTCTGTCGACTGGGAAACAGGAGACTCATCTGTACACTGCACAGAGCTTCTTACACAGCAGAACCCCACCGTAAAAAACACTGCTCACCAAGCATTCCACCGTCGCTGTTGCCCAGGCAACCATCCCCAAAGTCATCATACTCCATGTGGTTGGACTTGTCCGGTAGATTGGCCGGACCAGGCTCGGCCTCCAGCAAGAGGTTTGAGGCCGTGGCCCCATGCATGATGTCCTCTTCAAAGGTGGAGTCGTCGCGCATCATCTCTCGGCCGTCCATCCCGAAATCAGCTGAGGAGGACAGCACTTTGTAACATGGAGGCGCTGATAATGTTTCTTTATTCACGTTAAATCACAATGCCATTATAATGACAAGCATACACACATGACAGAGAACAGGCCCCGCGTTTAAGCACACGTGTGATTGGCTGTGAGATCAGACATCAGCATGTGGGCAGCGTCCTACCAAAGTCATTGTCTTGCAGGAGGTTGAGGTTGCCGACATCTTCCCTCATGGTGATCTCTTCCACTCTGCTCTGGTTCAAGGTGAACTGCTGAGCCACGTCAATGTCACTGGAAACACAAATTAGGGACAAGATTCACGCCACAGGTCTTTTTCTGGCTGTCGTCATCTCAGTGGAAGACGCGGTGGATTATTCAAAAGGATTCTTTAACAAACTTACTCCAAATCGGGAAGCGGCTGGTCAAAGTCATGGAACTCCTCAGGTAAGGTGATGGCATTGTATGCAGCCTCTCTGTTTTCCTCAGGGAGATCCACCACCCCTGAACACAAACACAAGCATTCATGTCATGTGGGACACAAAGCCATCCTCCACTGTCCTGACTTCCATCACAACACTTTGTTGTAGCTTCTCCTTACCTGGCCTGAAGGCCATTTTGATCTTGATAAAGGCCTCATTACAGTCAGCGAGCAGATACTTGGCCTTCCTGTGGTAGATTCTCACCACACCAAGGAGCAGGTGACCTGAAGTACGCAACGCCATCTTCACCTAAGATCAACAACAAGCAACAAATGCAGCATGTCAGACGCATATTTGTAGAAGCAAGCATGGAATGTGATGCCAGAAGACGGCATGACGAGTTTCTCAGTGTATGCCACGACTGCACAGTGCAGACTTTAACAAATTAAGAGCTTCAATGTGTTCATCTCATCCCGACATCTGCCAGCATTCAATCTGTTGAGCTTTGGAGGATTTCAAAGTGCAAATCGGGATATTTAGTTGCTAAATGAGACAGGCACGGCAATCTGCCAATGTGTCCTTACATCGTGGCTTTTGAGGGGAGGTACAAAAAGACAGAACCAGAGACCGACACCTACAAAGGTACCAAAAAGGAGTTAGCAGCTAAGTGAGCCCAAAGCTTGCTGGTTCCAAAGTTCAAACCAATCCAAAGACAACGCTTTGATTGTGTTACCTTAGGAGATATGATGCTCTCCACGCTGCTCTCCAGGTTGCACTCGAACACGTGGGCCTTGGTCAGTTTTTTGTCCCAATGGGCCGCCAGCCATATCTTGGCCAGCGGCCCACGTTTGCTGAGGACAAAGTGGGCGTAGAACATTGCCCTGGTTCCCCGGGTTCACACGCGACAACTGTGGTAATTTACACCTGGGAAAAAAGAAAAAAAAACACAAATTATGACTATGAGACTAAAGTTCAAATTACTAATTTAATATGGCATTCCTTAAATCAAATGATAAAATCATTGTACACAAGGACAGAGCTCTAAAAGGGGGGGGGGGATCTTGCACTACACAACCTAGAAATTCAATATACCTGTAGCTGCTTCAGACAATGCAGTTAGCAGGCAAAGTATCAGAGCAAACATCTGTCTATTCAATGGATTGCTTACACTGTTAGCGAGGTACAAATCTAGGACGATCGCTAGATTTTAAATATTTGTTTAAAAAGTCACCCGGCTTGATGCGTTATAATAACAAAGAAAAAGACACATGGTGCCACGCAAATCAGACCAATGTGTACGTTTCGCCACGGGGGACAGGAACTCGTCAAAGATGCTAAAACTTGAGCAGAATCCCTCGAAAAAGGTTTTTGAATACATATAATTAGGGTTAATTTACAATCTCCGTGTTACCTCCACAGACTGGGGTCTGTTGAAGAGCTTTCGACATGCGTTGATTAGCCAAAGCGAGCCATATTTATTAGCTGTATTTACAGGAAGGCATTTAGCTCACATTAAGTTAGGAGTTAAAACTTACTCTGGGGGTTCGTCTAAACCGAAAACGATGTGTAACTTCTAATTTTAGGGCTTAAAAACCATAAAACTAGACGCTATCAAAACAAGCTCTGTCTTCACTCAAGTTCCGCCTGTTTCTCTGCTAATCAAATATTTGAAATGAATGCACATGTCGGCCTAAGAAAACTGGAACTCGTCCCATATTCAGTCGTAAAAAAAAGAAAAACAAAAAAGTCCCCGCTTAAAAAAAGAATAAAAGTGGAACAGTAGTACAATGTTCGGGGTTTCAGACGTGCTAGTCTCTTAAGGAAAGCAGCGCGTTAAAAGCGCCAAAGGATGGGCGAAGCCAGTAAATAGTCGGCGCCATCAAGTGGGACGAACTAAATTAGCCACAAGCTTACTACAACTGGAGCCCTGGAACTGCGCGAGTGTAGCAGCAAAGTTTAGAATGGGATCTCTCTTTTAAAGCAAAGTTGGATCCCAAATTCGGATTACAAAACAACACTTAAATGTAAAGTACAAGGGAACGAGGCACACATCGATGCCTGCTTATACTTTCCCCCCCTCTATCAGCAGAACACTATCGTTAGCCGATTGCTAACGGCTCTTTTGCAGGGAAGGCCGCAGTGAAAAAAAGCAGAACATGCACCCCTTTTTCTCCATCATGAAATACACAAACCCACGCTAAAATATTTTCGCTGCAAACACACTTACCGACAGCGGTCCTCCTAGCGTGAAACCCCAATGATTAGGTAATTTCTCCCAATGAATTCTCGCTTGTTGTACTCATTAAAACAGCCAAGATGGCGCCAGTCGCCTTCCTCCCGCTCACCGCTGTCCTTTTAAAATCGGCAGGATGTTTACAGTCAAAAATGGCGGAGGAGGAGCCTTCTGTGGAGGCTGAAACGGACAGGCACACTGCTGTGGACGCAGGGGGAAGATAGGAGGCGCCATGACACACAGTCTACCCCAGGAATAGTCATCGCTTCGACCAGTCACCGTGGAGAAGAGATTGCATGAATCATACCCGTTCAAATCAACACGGCAGTGAACTACACGAGAGTATGGGCATGTTTTCTTGCTTTCTTGTGGCTAAAATCCTCTTTAGGTGCACGTGGTCCATATCCGGTTCAACAAACATCCCACCCGGCCCTTCTGGTGGTGTCTCTATGGTGATTCACATGTGAACACTCATGCTAATGGAGTGAATGGAACTCAACAGGAAAACACAGAGGAGGCTGAGGCCTTTGGCACCAGTGGCTGCATCTCAATCAGAAGTTTCACATATGCAAGCCTGTATGAGTACATTTAACATTAAAATGCAGGAACTTTGAGCTAATACAAACACAAGGAGAAAAAAATGATTGTATTTGCCTGATGAAGAACAGCCTCAAATGATCATAGCCTGCCAAATTAATGGAATCCTTTGAACCAAATCATCCCAATGCAGTGAACTGGGCATCAACAAATAAACTCTGAAACCCAAGTTCCGAAAAAGTATGATTTTTGTAGAGATGGAAATTTCGCTTGAACGACAGACGAGTGTAAAATCAAAGAGTTGAAGTGGGTACGGAGTAAAGCGGATTTGTCTCTGACATCTGTTGCAGTGGTATTGTTGCCAGTTGAGCTTGTTTCTATTCTACCCACTGCAGAGCCAGTGTCACCATGCAGGAGGGTTAATGAGAGCTAGCAGCATGCGGGATTTGTTTACTCAGTTGTTCCATTTGTCTATGTCAGGTGGTCTGTGATGATTTTTTGTCTAGGGTAGAGGCACTGAGCAGTAGTAATGGATTACAAGACCTGATGCTTCATCATGATGACATGTTCACAATACTAACAGTGAGGAATAAAAAAAATCAATTACATTTACTGTCATAAGGCGCATTCAGATGGGAAAGTATTAATGTGCTTTTAAACTGGATTGACATTTTTAGACTGTACAGCCATTTATTACTGTTTTAGAGCAGGCTATATGTGTATAGATTTTTAATCTTGTGTGTAGTATACACAAACACCGTGTGTGACACTTTTTAATCTGCAACTCCCCAGTCATTTGTGAATGGTGACACAATTTTTGGCTCCCATCTGTTATAAAAAGATCACTTCATCAAAATAGCTGGTTGATGTTATGATGTGAACAATATTTCCACACAGCCTTCGCATACCACCCACTTCTACAGGTTCACATGAGCAAAATTCCACATCCCAACATCTTTCTCCACCACAGCCAGATGTATAAATATCTGTGTAGCTGTTTGTTGGTAAAACATCTCTTATATAGGATATAATGCATATGGACCAACAGACAAAAAATGACTTGTTATGCCTAACGTTATTCCACATTCTGCTCCGTCCGCTTTTCAGTAATTGAGCTTCTTTTCTTTGATGATCTGTGTGGTGTTCAGCAGCAAACTGTCTCTGCGAAGGAAAGCATCACATTTTGAGAAGGCACATCGTACCTGTAAGCGTATTTGTCTTATCATAGTATTTGCAATTCAAATTAGGCATCATGGTGTGCATTTGTGATTTTCTTTTATCATGGTAAACCAGCTAACTTAGAGTTCTATAAAAATCCTTCTGTTGGAGAAGAATTCCTTTCATTCGTAATGGTCGCAATGATGCCTCAAACTCCATTTTGAACATCAAAGTTGCACAAGGAGGCAAATGAATGCATGAACAACATTAACAATCTAAGGGGAAAAATGTATGTAACACTGTTGGCGCCATCTCCAACATACCAATAAGTCAACGATGATATAAATGCAAACATGAGAAAATGGCTTATGGGAGCACAAACAGGGAGTGCAATCCAACTCTTCTTTCACAAGCTTGAGTTTATAATCAAGCGTGTCATTTATCACGCTGCGACCATATCTTAAGATGAGGAAAAAGAGAGGGCTGTCTCTCAAATGTGGCCTCAAGTGGTAAGAGTTTAATCCAACAGCAGGGGAGAGCCCTGGCAGCGTGCACTTCCAGATCCATCTCCAGATACACATCTACTCAATTGGATTTAGCAAAGTTGAGCTCATTTGCATATCATTACATCAAACAAAATGTTTGGCATGAGATGGGCTCTCTGAGAGCCCGCAGCACCGACGTCTGACATTTCACGTCTCCATTCGGTGGAAAAGTCACATATTTCCACTAACTACTCTTTTGGATCTCTTCTCATCACTGAACTGCACAGCACTCAGAGCAGACGTGGCCTCGGTGTGACTTTTAAAATGGCTTTCGTTTTAGTGCAGCCCCAGACATGATTTGCTCTGAGTGGGCACCGGCCCAGATTCTTCACATACTGCAGATCATAATGCTTCCTAAACTTTGCCCAGTTCGTGCGCGTTTGTACAGAAGTGGCTTTTCTGATGACGCTCTCTCCAGCTAAGTTGGCAGCTTTGATGCGCCATGGGGATCATCTCGGATAGAAGCTGTTATTTACGCAACGTCCCTAAACCAATCATCCTCACGCAGAATTACATAAACACGATATGAGGTTCATGTTCACAATGAAAACGAATGGTTGCAGGCTTGATATTACTGTATAGGTGCAGAGCATCATAGAAACATGGAACTCATTTTAAGCACTCTAAAAATTAAACAGACATCACACAGGTGAGTGTTGTGGACTGTTAGTCTGCAGTTTTGTTTTTTAATGAGAAACGACCACAATCACTCGAAGACACAGTCAGTTTGTATCAAACAATTTATTGGTTGATTCTTTTATCTTGTTTTTATAAAAATTAATTTACAAAACCGTGATTTTCTTGTACCGTCCTCCCATTTGAACCTATAAAATTAGGTCTGCAGGTGCAGAAGTGAGTGATGCAAACAGGCAAACTCATTCCAGACCCCATCCTGTCTGATAAATACTGTGTGTGTGAGAATCAAATATATTACAGCTGTGACAAACTTGAAGAGTGGTCTTTAGGAACCTAGCACGTATTACGATACAAGGCAGTATTTCAGGAGGAATCCTGTGGTTGGCAGCATTCCAGCGCTTAAATCATTAAGGGTGGCATTATGCACTACCGGAGGTTCTCCAAGAAAACAAACCTAACTCCTATAACATGGAAATAGGGTCATGATTTTTGCACAAGGCAGATTGGGGGGGGGGAAATCCTAAGTGTAATTCCTCTGAAGGCACATCGATATATCTCCCCTGCCCTCTAAAACATCATCTCAGTTTAAATATTGCACTGTGTTCATTTTTGAAATGCGATTGTTGTACATCTATATTAAATTGACCTGACATCACTGTGTTGAGTTTGCCAGGATTTGGAGATCATGACACATTCTCAGAAGAAAGACAAAAACAAAAACAAAAAAAAACAACATGCATCACCCGTCTCTGTGGAGTTCCCCATCTGTCGCACATGCACTCCTCCCCTTTCCATGCTCGACATTCTTGCACACAAAAAATCCTTAATGAACAAAACAAAAACAGGAATGCCTGGCATTCCTCGTTTCAAATGATAAAAACATATAGAAACAAAACCACAAATGTTCTATGGCACATACTGGGGGGGGGGGGGGGGGTGAGCTGAACAATCATTTGTTTCACCATCAATTAAAGACCTTTTTTTAAAAGGAAGCTGAAGCTAGCAAAGGATGTCAGGGGAGTTGTGGTTAGGCTTGTTTTTCGTTTTTAAAGAGATGTGGCAAGCTTAACTCCACCATGAGAAAAACAATCAAACTCGATGGGCCAAACGGCGTGAAGTCAGTCTATGAAACCAGCAGCCATAAGAACAGATTTTAAATTGGACAGACAATTGTGATTCTAGTCCGATTCATTTTGTTATGTACGCTCCATGTTTCATAAGATATTTCCAATCATCACATAGACTGAAATCTTTAAATTGAAAGGAATTGATATCTAAGAAATGGAAAATTATTCGAGGACTTTATAGCAGCATTAATAAAAATATTCCTGTATTTTTATTCCTACTTTCGGAGGGAGGAAGCTTCCAATGATTCAAACTCCTGCCGTCTCAAAGCAGAGCCTGCATATGGCAGCTGCTGTCAGCCTTAGCTGCTGCCAACCTGTCCCACGGAAAAATGAAAGTGGGTTTGTGGAATAAAGACGGCAGGATATAAATATCTCTGACTAACTGACCAAAAAAAAAAAAAAAAGATCCAGTGTGTGGATTTCACAGTGGTGGCAGTTTCAAACGGACATCTTTTGTGTCTGCGTTGAGCTCGGCCTCTGTCAGCCGGGGCCACACCCTCACCTTATTCAGGCTAACACCGGGCCGGCCCTGAACCCTGCCTCTCTGAAGCTATTGTGAATGAAAAACAGACCCGTGACAGTTTTCTGCTAAACAGGATAAGAAAAGCTCAGAATAGCTTGGATCACCGTTCCCGCGTGGCCAATCTGGCTGTGCAAGATGGCTTTGAGAAGATAATCTATGAAGAAAATGGTTTAGAATGGCACATACCGACAATTATGTATGTTCAGCTGCATACAAATACATGCTCATTCTACTTGTTATCGTTACTGACTGAGAAACTGCTGTTTAATCACACAGAAAATTACAAGTTATGGAGGAAATCAACAACGGAAAAAACAAAACAAAAATAAATAATTTCTTCAACAAAATTTGGGGGGGAAAAAGGAACCTGCAAAATCAGGTGTTCTATTGTCAGCGTGTCTTTTCTCGGATTCCCTGATCCCGCCTTTACACAAACAGTGAGGCACTGTGAATGTCAGATACATGATCATGAGCAGTTCTGTGCTGAGGACTTTTCCCTCCTCTCCACCCCCCCCCCCATTACTGGCTTTCATTAAGACAAAAATAGGGAGCGTAGTGCTGACCACTCACTGTATAAAAAAATAACTAAACACAATCCAAAATAGTGTCATCCTCTTCATAATCAATAACATCGTCAGCTAAATCTTTCTGAGAGCTGTGCATAGTGTACAGATGAGATCCGGCTGTCACTTTCTACGGACTGCAGCTGGACACATTAAGTCACTGTTCAGACAGAAAGCTGTCATTTGTGAGAAATTCAAACTCCTCTGCTTCAGCTGGTGGGGGGGTGGTGGGGGGTCACAGAGCACATGAGACCTCTGAACTTTGGAACACTGGCTTCCTCATATTCAAGGAAGCAGGGGTAGAAAAAAAAAAAGAAAGAAGGACAAACAAAAAAAGACAAATGCAGCGTCCTCCACACTGGTCTCGTTCTCCCCCAGACACCGTCCAGTTTGTATCTCCACTGTTCCATATATGCAGTGGTCTGGTCTTCCTTTTATGCCCGCCTCCCTCGCTCCTTCTTTGTGTCCACAGAGCGGGGAGGCTCAGGAGGGTTATAGCCTCTCGATGTCCCTGTATTTCTTCCGCAGTATGGACACCTGGTCTTTGAACAGGACAGGGTCTAACCTCATCTGAGAGTGGACCAGAGGCATGGTGCCAAACCAGCTGGCAAACTTGTTCATGCAAGTCTGACGCTGGGCGAAGTGGTCCGGGTCAGCCCAGCGAGACGCTCTGGAGCTCTGTGGAGGTGAGGGGTGGAGACAGGGCACAGAAAGGAGGGGAGGGAAATTCTAAATGAGTAACACTTCAATTCCTGTGTCCTTTCTGAACATGCTGTTTGCATTAATTTCTTCAAAGTCACTTTTCACATTTTTACTTTACACTTGGCCACGACAGAGGTTTTTCCTCTTGCAAGCTAAAACCATTAAACACTGCGTGGTGCATCAAGTTAATTTTCAGTTTATTGTGTCACAAAACCCTCCCTGCTGAAGCTTCCGGCATTGCCCTCGTCTTACCTGTCCCATCATGGTTTCCTTGTATTGTTTCTTTTGGGTAACCTTGATGGGTGGTAGTTTGGTCACGGATGACACAAGAAAATTCATGAGGATGTCCTCACAGTTGGACATCTGGTCAACCATCGTCCTGAGACTGGCTGGCAGGTAGGTGGTGTACAGGTAGTGGTAATATCTAAGGGGGAAGTGTGAAGATGTGAGAGGGGGTCTGACAAAGCGTGCCGGTTGTGGAACCTAGGCTAAACAGAGGGAGGTGCCCGTACTTGTGATAGATGGCAGCCCCAGTCAGCACCATGGAGTAGTCGTTGGTCCATTTGGAAGTGTAGCCCCAGCGCTCCTTGCTGCTGTCCCAGAAGTGGCTGCGGGCTGGGTACCCCACGATGCGGTCGGGGAAGCTCTGCCACACTGTGAAGGCAAAGTCGACCTGGATCGAAAACGAAGAGAAGAGAAAATAAACACAGACATGAGGCCATCTATTTGAAGACTGTAAAACATTTTTGGTTGCTTGAATCTTAGACAAAAGCCAGTGAGAGACAGACCTCTGTGGTAGAAAGCACGGTGTCCTCATCCAGGCTGAGGACAGCATCAGTGGGGATGGTGTCATACGGAAGAAAGCGACTGCTTATCATCTGGTGGGATTGAAAAGAAAACAATACAGCAAAACAAAGATGTAACCGAGCACTGACAGGAAGTGAATGGACTGACGATACAATGTCATTTGTTTGGGTGTGAGCAGGCTGCATATGGCTGTGTCGGAGCCGTTTTATCTTGCTGCATTTCTTTTGTGATCTTTATGTATTTCTAATTTCAGACATTTAATATTAGACTGACATGTGCATGGTTTCCCCCGTCTTTATCTGGCTGTCTTCATGGCTGCCAAAGAACCACATTTGGAACATCTTTAAAAATTATTAGGACCCAAGAACAGGCCTGACTTCCATCTATTTATATGTTTTAAAAGTCAGAGGAAAAATATAATAATAATATCACTGGAGCATTTTGGACACTGACAGGACATACTGTCAATGTCCTCCTCATGAGAACCACATGATGCATGAGACACTTTAAAAACATCTGAATTGTCAAATACATGAAGCGCAGCATTTATAAAAACAATTATTTCCCAAATAAAAGCATTTTATGATATAGTAAATGAGGAACTGCCTCTGACAAGCTATTCAGCTATTCAGCCATTGAACTTGCACTTGTACATTCTTCTCTGAGGCAATGAGTTGAGCTCATAGCACTCAAATGAAAACAAAAAGAAACCAGTTTATCACTCAAACTGCCTCAAATGCAGGCTAAGACTTTACCTTGCTCTCTCCTTCAATAACAATAACAGGGACTGAGGTGGAAGGCCAGCGGTGCTTGGCAGGGAGAGGTTTGTCACAGTTCCACAGAACAATCACCTGCACAAAGGGCACAAACAGGCACAACGCTTAGTTTTCATTTTCAGTGCGTTATCCAACTCACATTTGTGTGGAGGACAACATCCACACGAAGCTGTACATCCGTTTTAGGATAGCTGCCTCAATTCTAATAGCATCTTAGGGGTGAAGGCAGGAAAACTGCGCTCACTGAGGCAGCTTTGTTCACTTTGCCTTCTGTTAAAAAGTGAGAAATGTTCACATGTGAAATAATCGACCTTATTTGGTAAATTAGTTCCTGGAAGCTGCTCACATCGCACAATTACAGGGTCACGTGGTTACTGCTGTGCACCAGGGCAATCTGATCACAGGCCATGAGGTTTGAATTACCTGTGCACAGTACTGAGATTTTGCCACAGCAACAAGCAGCTTCATCACTGGCTGGGACTGAGAGACCAGCGGCGTGACCACATGAATGATTGCAGTAAACTTGGGGTACGGCTTAATACCTGCAGAGAAAAAAAAACTTCATTTTATTTTTGTTACTAATAATATTCTGTAGTCAGGGCAGTAGACACAACTCTGTGGCAAAATATGCATTTGTAAGTTTATTTAGCAGATTCTGCCAGTGCTTTACATCTTAGTTCCCAAATTGCCTGCACATCTGCTCATTCACTGACCCAGCTTAGCGTAAAAGAAGGGGAAATCTCCCAGATGTGTGGAGTACTGAGGCAGGGAGAAAAGACCACCAGGCAGATTGTTCCACATCTGGTTACTCCTTGAGGTGTGCAGCAGAACCCGATCCTGGATGATCTGCATGGATAAGACGACAGTTCATTTCGTCAATAAACTCCTGACATAGGGTCTTCTTCTAAATCTAACGTTACATCACTTCAAATAATCATCATCCATCATGCCGTTTTCAAATTGCGTGCCGCCGCACATCCTGCACATCCCAAAGCCTGCCCACTACGGATGTTTTTGCCTTTTCAAATTACTGTCATGTCATGCTAAAAGCAAAACTTCATACGGCCCAGTTTTTTAATTCTCCTTTTATGGTTATTAACAGGATAGACTATTTCTGGCTCTGCTCTATAATGTTCCACCTTTAATCTGCCAATTCAACAAACTGTCCCTCATCAAATGACTTTAGATCTTATTTGCAAAAGCTACTGATGGGATTTTGAAGATGTCAAGCTAAGAGAAGAGCACATCCATACGGCCCCTCTACCCTCACAAGGCTTGTCCTGATTTACTGCTGGCCCTTAAGCGGTAATTTGATCTTTTTAATGTCTTTATAATTTAAGATAAGTTTGGACTAGATCATAGAACTGAAAGATACTGATAAATTAATTGTGTTTTTTTTAAACAATAAAGCTAGTTGGCACTTTTTTTTCCATTACTCCCCTCCCCAAGTTCAGTTAGAGTCTAGTTTAAGCAAATAACATGAAGCATCACAGCATCACTGAGCTTTGCATGCCCACAACATCAACTGCTCCCACTCCTCTTCAGCACTAAGTCGAGGATACAGTCCTAAATTATTAAGCACTCTTGGCGTAGCTGCAGACCAAGGCAAACCCTGTCCACTTCTGGCAAGATGGAGTGCACATAAACTGATTCCAGAGGTTTATATCTACCCTGTTTATCATAAAATCCATGGATGCACTTGATTTTGGTCTCTATAGAAACACGTCTACAGCCCAAACGTGAGCGACTAGTTGTTTCCTGTGGTATATGCTGGAACAGGGTAAAGACAGAGTCTAAACAGATCAAAGATCAGCCGGTCGCAGCTGTAACTTCACTATTCTCTCTGAGGCATTCCTGCTCTGCAGTCTCGTGCCCTCTCCTCGCACCTCTGAAGACAAAGCCTCCGGGAAACCTTCCTAAAATGTTAGCCAATGGCCTAAACTGCTCACATGAAATGGGCTTACATGTAACACCAAACCGACGTGGCTTTGAAGCTGCTCTGTTTTACCTGAAACGCTGGTAGTGCAGGAGTGCTTTTGAGAGCATTTGCTTTGACAGGTCAAAGAAACATAATGATTGTGACTGGATAACTTGGAGACTCTGCTATGTTTACACCATGGTTCAAAATGTAGTGGAGAAGCCTGGAATACTTACAGAAAACCAAGTGTCCTGTCTGTCACTATCTTGCAACCATATCAATTTTCCTTCCTCACAGCTTTCATCTATGCTTGTTTGTAATTCTAGCCAAAGAGAAGTATGATGGCCTGATCCTTACAGAGAAAAATACAGAGAAATGAGCCCCGACAGGAACAAACTATTGACACTATTCATTTCCAAGCCACAGCTAGACGCAGCCCTCAACTTTGACAGCACTACTGAACAATACATCGCACTCCTCCCACATACCCAAGCTTCACATCAACAACTGCGCCAAATTGTGCAAAGTCAGTGATGAGGGTGAGGAGAAATAGTAGATTTCTCCTGGGATTCAATTAAAAGCTCTGCCTCTTGTAAGGCCGCGGGCATGGGCTACATGGACAAATGAAGGATGGCCTCTAATTCGGACCAGGCAGATGGGAGATGTAACAAAAAACAGGGGCAGCTTGAGTAAAAAAAAAAAAAGGCCTTGGCCTTAATTTGAGAACAGAAATAACCCCAAATCTTTAATGGAGAGGACCTCAGTTTGTCTTTAATATTTATCAAAATGCAAAATCAGTGACAATCTTGTTTTTGGGACTCATTTACAAAAGAGAAATGTAAAATGTTTCTGAGCCTAACTACAGCAGCCTGTGTTCACTAATGCACCGTTCTCATGTAATACATTAATTTGTTTGCAGTTGTATTTACATTTAAATAAAAATCTTTTAGTATGTCTGTGTACCTCCAGTGTAGTTAGGACTATCTTCTCCACAGAGCTGAAGTAAGCCTCCCACAGGAACTGCGTCTGCTGTCTCAGGGACAGAATTTTGTCCTGGTGGATGGAGCGTACTGTCGAAGGGATCTTACACAGAAGTAAATGATGTCAGTCCAAAACTATTGTAGACTGCAGGGAGAACAGTATGAACTCAAAGGACACAGAGCAGGACAGAATTCTGCACAGAGATATACAGCTCACGAACAGCACCGCTACATGAACTGTGGTTATGTAAAAGGGTATCTACCTGTAAAAGCAGCCTCTCATCCCCAATCACAGCAGCTGTATTCCAGTCGATGATTTCCGAGAAGGGGAGCTCCCAGCCATTGCTAAGCATCACGGGCACACAAGCTGCCTGTAAGTGCAAAAGCTCAGGTAAGACACAACAAGATAACTTACCATGATTGGAACAGTTTGGAAATGAAGCAAATAAGAACAGGGGCAAAGAGCAGCGTCTATCTGCTAACGTCCAATCCACCAGGACATTTATATTCAAAGGTTTATATTCAGAGGGTGCGACCAGGCATAATGTTTGTGCTGTAGTGTCTACTGTACATGTCATAAAGTGAAAACAAATACAAACTGCTGAAAATATTTAAAAGAGATGTATATAAAATCTCAGACTTGCGTGTGTTTGAACGGATTGGACAGGACAAGCGGCCTCTTGCCAGCAGTGACCCGCTCTATAATCTGCTAAGCAGGGTTCTGCTCCCTGATTGGTCACAATGCGCACAGACACAGACACTCCTGCATCAGAGGGCTGCAGTGCTCATCTAATCTCCACAGTGTCATTAGAAAAGGTAGCAATCTGCTCAAAGGCTGCCACGCTTTACCTGCTTATCTGTTCTCACGGAGAAATCCCCTCGAGATCCACTGTAGTCCAATCCCCTCCTTACTCAACATCACAAACAAGCCCGGAACATCAAAACATCTGTCTGATTAACCCCCCGCATTTTGTTCATTTGCATGGGGAAAAGGTAATCCTCCGAGGACTTCGCCCGTGTCATGACACCTGCATTCCACCTCGTCTTCGAGCCATTTTACTCTACATCACCGCCCAAATCTGGGAGCTTTTTGTAAATGTCGCATCTCCATTCATCTTCTTCCTGATTAAAATCACATCATACCCCTGATTGCGTTCAGCCATCCTGAACTCAGCTTGCGCATGATGTAGCTGTTCTCCAGATGGTCCCGCTGTAAACAGCCGAGCCAGCATCTGTGTGTCACCTCATCAATGCAGCCATGACGTACAAGCGGGCAGATGCTCACTGCCCGCACACTCCTCTGGACACGAGGGCAAAAACCATTCATTCCTTTTAATTTGAAGCCTGTCATGACCTGCACGCTGTTGAAATCGAACCCTTATTCTTATGCACATGTAAAACATCCCACACCACCAATATTTTTTTCAGATAACTATCTCCATTTCTAATGTGCATCACCATAATGAAGCATGTAGGTGACAATTTAGTCTGCATTTAAGACCAAAGGCTCAGTTAGGAACATTTCTAATCAGAATGCAATGCCCCATTTCTTGATTTATGTTCTTCACAACTTTTCAGCTGAGACTGAAACAGCGTTTGTATGCGTCTTAAAAAGCACATCAGTGTAACGGAAGTCTGATTGTTCCAGGGACTGAAGATGCAACCTTCAAAGAATCTAGCTGACTGGAGGGTAACAGGCTAAAAAACAACTATTCAGTTATAATAGCAAGGCAATTATCTTAAGAACGATGTTTATTTATTAGATTATCATGAGGCCTTGTTCTCCAAAGCATCACTGGCTATGATCGCTTTGCTGACCTGTTGTTTTACTTCAAGGACTGATACAAGGGGTAATTACAGCAACACAGAAATACATGTAATCCCTTTATTAGCTAAGGATCTCAACCAAGCAACTGGCAACATTGGGATTATAACTCTAATAAAGCCACTGTTTCTTATATAAGAATCACTTATTTGAGTTTAAGCCCTTGAAATGCATCTTGTCTTTTCTGTCCACTTCCAAGGAGCCTTTATCCGTTCTCGCCGTCAAAAAGCAGGGAAAGGTGAATAACAACAAAACGCACTCAAGTTAAACTACCCATATCACAGAGCTCCACATTAAAGTAGACTACGGTCATCTTTATCTGTAGCTGGCTATGAGTCAGGAAAGCACTGACAGGGACTCTCCGAGTGTGACTTGGTTAGAACCATCCTGGATCAGGGACACCGCCAGGATGTTAAGAGTAGTTATTCACAGAAAAGATTGATTTAATTTAGATGATCGTCTCAGTAGGATCCAGTTTTAAACCATATATAGAGAAGGGACTGAATAAGACTTCAGATTTCATTGAAATGAGAGGAGAGAAAAAAGGGACAAGATGGCAGAGAAAGCACTGAGGACAGTGAGTCAGGCAGCACAGCAGTTGCACAACAACTGAATGACTGGCAGTGGGTGAAAGAGCCACTGGGGCTTAGTGGAAGCTTCACTTTTTCATGCTGAAGCCACTGATTATTAGCAGTTCTTGTTAACTGTTTTAGCCAGTGTCTAAATTTTACATTTCGGCCAAAGACCCCTTTAGCACAAACACTAAACATGAGTTGTCCAGCGAGTGTGAGTCATGCAATCTTTTCTTTGAAAAACACACAAATAAATACATTACTACTAATAGCAACGCTGCCTCGCAGTAATGAGCAAAATCGTTCCTTGCATCACTGACCTGTAAAGCCTCTAAAAAGCGGAAAGAGCCCAGTCGCCGACCACGAGGCACCAGGCAGAATGTGGAGTTGTACAGCATCTCTCTGTAGTCGTACCTGCAGGACATGACAGAAGAAGAAAATGAACATATAAAGTAAGAGACATATTTTATCTGTGGGCCCCTATGTTGGCCAAGTGCATCCTCAACAAAGACGCTCAAACAAAAAAACAAAAAAATCCAGAAAGGCCTCAACTGTAGTTTTCAGAAGTGTTTGAAAGAACAAGAGAAAGAATGAAACACCAGGCAGGAACACCTGGAAACCAACAGTACTTTCAGCAAATATCCCAGCCTATCTGGAATCCCCTCATCTCTCTCCACCCATCCTTAAACACTCCTGGCCCCCTACCAGCATTTATTTATCTCTCACTCTTCCTCCATCCAACCCAACCCTCAGTCAGCACCTGCTTTGATTAAGAAGCTGCTTGGAATTCCATCTCTGATAATATTATATGTATACAGGACAGGGGAAGCCTTTTTGTGTCTCCTTGTTTGCTAGGTTTGATTAGGTTAGAGTGGAAAAATGTGGAGGTTTGACTCTACATTGGACAATTTTTAGTTAAGAGGATATAAAACTCCAACAAATCATCTATGAATGAAATACTGGCTGGCTGGCATGTTTTTTTAGTACTAATGTACTTTGAGAATCAGCTGTCACTCAAATATGCTGAAGGTGTGTAAACCTTCAACAGCAAGATAAATGGTGGGCTATTAATTATGAGGAAACACAGTTGGGTTTTTCCTACAGCCCTCCTGCTGGGGCTCATCATGCCACCAGCATCTAAGAAAACAAAATGGTTGGCAAAGACGTCCATTCAGATTAGATTTGACGTAGCTTACCGATGCTGAGGAGGTGGTAGTGCCAACATTGAGGATGTAAAACCAAAGAAAAGTGAGCTTTGTAGTCATCCAACTCGGATGACTACAAAGGGGCCCAGAAACAAGGAGTACAAGAAATGTAGACGTTCATTGGTATGTGACCTCTGACATTTTACTGCCACCGTGCATTTAATTACAAGCAGAGATCTCAGACTGGCTCTAAGCAGGATTTATAATCAACCAAAGGATCTGGAAAATTACCTTCTAGTGGTACATCTGATTCAATCCATCTGCTTTTTAGGGGAGTTCACAGCATGAATGAGGATCAAATACCTGCCTGGATGATCCCCCTGCACCAGCCAATACAGCCAATTGTAAATCAGATGAATAGACCCAAAAAGCCTGATGTTTCTGATATAATGTTAGGCCATAAACGCCAAGAAGTAAATCATCACACACATAAAATACCGCTGATAAGTGCATCCATATTTAAAAAGGGACTTGATTCATTAGTCTGACTCCATCGACAACATGACAGACCATCATTAAGGATGACGGCCCAATCATCAAGCCAAAGTCACATAAATAACCCTGTGCACACCTATAAAAACACATAGTTTAAGTCCCAATCTGGGGTCAGGATGAGTGTAAAGCTTGAATCAATCACATTTCATGTCAGTGCAAGCACAGAAGACCAGATGTTCTGCTACAATCTACCTAATGGCTGCCTGCGAGCCCCCACAGCAAACTACAGTGAGTCGGTTTTAAAGTCAAAGGCTCATAAAAGTCATTTTCTTGAACAAGCTCCTATTTTGGTGTAGAGTTTCTCTGTGGACGCTTCTTTTCTCGTTTTTAAGACATTTTGGGTTTCAAAAGATAGAGGCTTCTTTCCAGCTGCCTTTTACAAGTGTGTCAGATGGCAGCAATTAATTCTGTACTATACAAGGTAAATCCTGCCATGTCCCATATTTTCATCACTCCAGTCCAGATGGTTGCTACGAGCATATCAGTCACACCAGGATGGCCATCAGAGGTTAATCGCAAAGTCAATGTAATGAGCTTACGTCAGTCTTTTTTTTTTTTTTACAATTCTTGATCATCCCATTTAAAAAAACAGAATGCCTGAATAACCACGGAAGAAGGAAAAAAAAGGCTTCCATAAGGATTATTATTACTGTAAAAGCAATGACATGGAGTCTCCCATTTCTCCACACAACATCTTGAAATAATGTGAGGAATCAGAGGAAACGGCTAAAGTGCAGCCTGCTGTAGAGCTCTGTGCAATGCCTCAGCCTGAAAGAATGCATGTGGTGTACAGCGTGGTATCCACTAAGGATCAAACCTCGTCCAACTATGCGTTCAGAGCAACCGCACTGCTGACATTTCCTGACCATCAACTGGCTGTTGGCCTTTTATAAATGGCACATGACCACTGAGCGTGTGTGTGCATGGGTGAGTGACAGAATGCTGCGTAGATTAGTAAGCGAACTAAAAACATTAACTTAAAAGTGAATGAGGTAGAATGAGGCGAATTAGGTAGTAAATCAAAGCACAATCTCAAAAACATGTTGAGGAAAATCAGCTTATGAGTAGTTCATTTATGAGTTGCTCGTTAAATGGAGTTCACATCTAATTGATGTCATTTGGCATTAACATCAACAAACAAGGGTCATGTCTGGATTGGGGGGGTTAGGGTTCAGCTAATGAATAAACATGTAACCATGTGATTCAGATAAACTCCTGACTTCATCAAAAGTAACTGTCCAAATGCAGCGTTATTTCCAAACATCCATTTGGGTCAGAAATACATGCGGCTGTTTACACACAAAAACAAATCAACAAATGAACATGAAAGTATGCTCTTACCAGTAATCTGACATTCCTGAATTTTAATGCTGTGAGACGTAAATGTATGATCGTAAAACAAGTGGATCATCAGGAAAATTCTGTCTTTTGTCATTAAAACATTAAAGAAACAGTCAAAAATAAGAAGAATTGAGCTGGGTCAAGAAAAAGGATCACGCGGTCTCCTAGCAACAAGAATGGATGGTGTGAAAGGGAAATGCATGGCTCGCTTTATCCAATGCTGGAGGAGACTCAGAGAAAAAGTGTTTGTTTGAAAATCTTTACAACAAAACAGCCGACAACCAAACCAGCACATAGACCAAACAGAGAAGTGCTACCCAACACAAGACTGTTTTAACATGCTCTATCACTTTACACCTAAAGTGTTCTAACAGTTAATTTTGGAGTTCCCCTCTCATCAAGAAAGTAACATCAGGTTGAAATACTAAAGTGCTCACCCCAAACTCCATGATAGTAATGGAGAATTTTCAGGTTTTCTTTATAAAACATTTCCCCATAGATAGTTGTTGCCAGGACCATGAGTTCAGGCCAGAGGAATTTCAGCCTGAAAGGCACTGAGTGAAAGTGAGTGTCATCGGATGAGAAAAGGAAAGAAGGAAAAACAGCAGCTGACAACCGTGAACTGTATCCAAATCCCAAGCAGCCACAGCAAGCCAAGGTAAGAATGTCACTCTTTTTTTCCCTTTCTTTTTACCTTGTCCTGTTCAGCATTATGGCAGCAGAACTGAAATCTGAGTACTGTGCTCTGCTCAACACATTTGCTTTGCCAAGGGGGGCTTTGTTGGTGGGCAGCCCCCTTTGATTACCCAAAACTGCTTTACTTTTTTATTTTTGTCACCAAACTTTACAAGTGTCCGTAATGCCGAACCTGACAGAGAAGAATTTCACTCTCAGCACACACACACACACACCAAGTCCTCGTAGGCTGGGCCGCTGGTTCCTCAAAAAGCCGCACACGGGGTTGGAGACAGACACATGGAACAATGACGAGCCAAAGGAGGGAAAACTTTCACTTTAGTCACAAAAACTTGAAATAAAAACAAACTTTCTGGAAGGTTCTTTTAACTTTTTCCCCCTTTAGGATTAGGTACATTATGACCCTCTTGAACAGGCAGAGCGAATCAAACCTCTACATAAAGAGACCCCAGAGGAATTCGGACCCATTGCATGTTCATAGTTTATCGAGCCTGCAGGTAAATGGGGGAAAAAACCCAATGAGCGTCACGCTGAGACTGCTGTGTGTGTTTTAATGGATTCAGATAACACCATCGTTCCTATTCTGGCAGCGTAAGATAGTTGAAATTATAGCTTAGAGACATTCTACATGAATTAGTGACCAAAATAACTGAGGAGTGTGACACTAACATGCTTAATGGTATATCGCTTAAAATAGTCAGGAACCTGAGGGTGGAACATTACAGAATAATGGCAAAGAAACTCGTGAATGAGGTTCGCAGCACTATCGCGCCTTAATGACACAGTTCATCTGGACGGTTCCCCCTGCAGCTACAACAGATGAGAAACTTTCCTGAACAGTTAGTGCTGGCTAACAGCAGGTTTGAGGGTGCAAGAAAGAAGTAAATGGTGGTAGACTTCTCCAACAGTTTGTTTCTGATTCAAATAAAGCCGTTGACATGCACTGGCAAAAATACACTGCAATGTTAACCGAGTTGTCTGAAGGCAGGACGCAATATGAATACTTTGGTTTAGTTGACCTCTAGATAATGAAAGTGGGCACTGCCACAGTAGTTCACACACAATGTTATAATGCTTCAACAGAATGATTTCAAAATTCATTCATGAGCAGTAAGAGTAGATGGTTCTTTATGAAGCAGAACGGGTCTGTTTGAGGAAATGTAGAAAGAGCAAAGGCCTCAGAATTAAGGGTTGATTTCTAAATTTACATTAGATAAATGTGAATCAGGATTTTAGTTGCAACTCTTTCATTGAAAGGGGAACTTTTCCTTCAGAACAAAAGGAGACTTCGCTGCTCAGTGGTGTTTGACTAGCATTATGAGTTTAACTGCAAGTCAGCGGAGCTCAGAGAATGTTAGCCTCAAAATGTCTTTAAAAAGCGAAGCCTTCACTAGTTTCCTCGGGGCACCTAGGGCTTACTCATTCATCCCTGGTTAATGAGTTCAAAGAGAGCTTTAGAAAACATTTACTGACACACAGAGGGGGGTCCACACCTCCACCGTTGTGCGCGACCCCAGGTTAATTCATCTGATTACTATGCTTTGAATCTTATCGTTCATCTCCTTCTTCCCATTACCAGCTTCAATCCGTTTTAGGCTTACTCTAAATATGAAGACCAAAGCGGAAAGATCTTTCATCTGCACAAATATGTCATACACATATTTTGAACAGTGCGAG